TGTTTTTCTTTTTTTTTCAAGGTACTATAAAAGAAGTGTAGAGTAGAAGTTGGAAATGAATATACAAATAAATGATTTATTTTGGAGTTTTTATGATGTAAAGGATCTCACAAAAGTGTAACTTTAAAAAATAAAATAAAAAAGAAAGGGAAAGCAACTTCTGACCCTGTTTTTTTTTCCTTTCCTTCATTTTCTTATCTCTTCTTCCTCTTCTTTCTTCTCCACGTCCCAAAGTAAGTCCTGTGAAACACAATTGAGGAAAATGGAATGCGAGAAACCAGATCACTTAAACTAAGATCAAGTTCCTAGTTCCCTTTTGACCAAAAGAGAGAACTGAAAAGAAGAAAATATCATCTCTTTATTTTTCATTGCCTCACAAACTAATAAATGCTTGACTTTTAGAGAGCTTATTTCACACAAATGTGTTGCTTGCAAATATGATAGGTATTTTTTTCTTATCAAATATAGAGTACATATACTATATTTCAGAAGAAGAAAAATTCAGTTGGAAGCCTACATTAACAGATTAGGAGAGATATACTATTATTCATGAAGAAAATGAAAATCTAAGTCAATTGTTGATGATGATAGACATGAATAGTGAGAATGACGGTTACACCACACTAGAGAAATATTTGGGAGCAATATTTATGACGAAGACTGAAGAGAGCAACTGAAAAGGACCACCCAACCCCCCAATGTATTTTCAAGCTGTATAAACAAGTAAAACGTAAAATTGATGAAAATGGAGAATGAGGGTGTGGTTTCCATTTCCTTGTCAGAGCAAGCACCCCACCACCACTTCCCAACCAAAAGACAAGCAAACACTGTCTACTTTTCTTTTCTCAGCTTTCTCCTTTCCTTAAAGTACATCTCTCTCTCCTTTTGTTGTCTGCTCCACAAAATCTATGTTGTTGTAGGGTGTGTTATTCAGTATTCTTCTCATGTAATTCCACTTGCTCCATGCTTACTCCACTCATGATTCCTTACTATGAAAATACTTTTATATGGTAAAGGCTCCCTCAAATGCGTGCCAAGTACTATTCCAATGCGATTCACTTCATTCATGCATGGTTCTTCTTGAGGAAATCCACATGTTTCTCTGAGGGTGGCATGTCATGCACATAAGTTTTAAAGAACGGTTAAAGGTTGGATTTTCAGCCACAAGGTTAAGGTTTTTGGACACCCCACGTTCACATTTGCCACCTTTTTCTGCAATTTAAAACCTTGAACACAACATACAAGATAGGATCACCACCATGCCATTTGGTTTAGTCTCAGCATGGAACAAGCGTCGAAGAAGCAAATCTCAAGATCATTCAGACCCTTGTATTTTCTTCTTCTTCTTCGTTTTGTTTAGTTTTTTATGTTGTCACTTGTGCTGGAGCGTATCTTCTTGAAGCATCAAGTCTTAACAAATTACACATTCGCTCTCTTCACAGGGATTTATAAACCTGCAGAGTTTTGGCAGCTTGAAGATCATATACCACAACCAACAAAAAGGAGGCACAGATCATGTGTTTTCACACTCAAGGAGATGGAAGAGGCAACATGTTCATTCAATGATGATAATCTGCTTGGAAAAGGAGGATTTGGCAGGGTCTACAGAGGCAATTTGAAGTCAGGAGAGGTAATGACTTTCTGATAAAAGTTTATATGACAGAAAAGAGGTCATCTTATATGATTCTCAAAATTGTGTTGCTTGAGATGTAGCTTCTGTAAAGAAGACAGGCATATTTCTTATTATTTTTCTTCACAATACCATCATTGAATTCCAATAGCACATAGATTGAGTTATAGCAGCAGAGTAAAAAAATGACTTACGTTGTGACTTAGCTACAAAAAAATGCAGACTAATCACTTAAGCATTTTAATCTGAAGGTTGTAGCAATAAAAAAAATGGAGCTGCCAGCAATGAAAGCAGCAGAGGGGGAGCGTGAATTCCGTGTAGAGGTTGACATATTAAGCAGACTTGACCACCCAAATCTTGTTTCTTTGATAGGATACTGTGCTGATGGGAAGCACAGGTTCCTGGTTTATGAATATATGCATAATGGGAACCTGCAACATCATTTGAACGGTTAGTAATGTACCCCCAAATCCATGCTTTTGTGGAAATTTCCTACATCCATGTTCTGTTAATCAGTGCCTAATTTTAGGAATTGGAGAAAGAAAAATGGATTGGCCTGTGAGACTCAAAGTGGCACTAGGAGCTGCAAAAGGGCTTGCTTACCTTCATTCAAGTTCTTGTCTTGGAATTCCTATTGTTCATAGAGATTTCAAATCCACCAATGTTCTTTTAGACGCCAATTTTGAAGCAAAGGTTATGAGTAAACTTCCAGCAATGACTTATTTTACATATAGCATAACATATGAAGCACTGAGGCAAAATGAACATACATCTTGTAGATATCTGATTTTGGGCTTGCCAAGCTGATGCCAGAAGGACAAGAGACACATGTGACAGTCAGAGTACTTGGTACCTTTGGTTATTTTGATCCAGAGTATACATCGGTATGTATATTTAAAGATAACAAGACTTATAAATTGGTTACAAATTGTTTAACCAGGACATTTCTTAAAAACCATTCATCAAAAACTTATATGATTTTTATTATTTACAACTCAAGTATTATTAAATGTTGAAGTGAAACTAACACATTGTTATGTTTTGGTGTGAGCAGACAGGAAAACTCACAGTACAAAGTGATGTGTATGCTTTTGGGGTTGTTCTTCTAGAGCTTCTCACAGGACGTCCAGCTTTAGATTTAAACCAGGGTCCAAATGATCAAAACCTAGTACTACAGGTACGCAACACAGTGGATAATGAAAAAAAAAAACAAAAAAACATAGACTTAAAAACTCTCCATCGTTTAATTTAAGTACATTTATCATAGGTGAGGCACTTACTGAAAGAGAGAAAGAAGCTTCGTAAGGTGATAGATGCAGAGATGGCTCGAAATTCTTACACCATTGAGTCTATATTCATGTTTGCAAATCTGGCTTCACGATGTGTTCATGCGGAGAGTAATGAGAGACCTTCAATGGTAGATTGTGTCAAAGAAATCCAAATGATTATCCATACCAATTCAAAGGGCTTGGGAATGGTTAGGCATAGCTTCAGAATGGTCTAATCTAATCAAATCATATCATAAAGTTCTTCAATTCATGTTAAGAACTCAAATTAAAATGCGTTACGATCATTGATTAAGTATTGGCATGATTCTTAGTGACAATGCCTTTGGGTTATTTGGATGATCAATCCGTGGCTGACAACGTTAACATGAACAAACCACTTCACTTGAAAATCTTCTCTTGCATCCTATAACATCACTTTTGTGTTTGGAATAGTTGGTTTTTTTATCAGTTCAAATGTATAAATCGATGATACATCAACCTTAGATTACCATTATTCGCTATAATGGAGAATCAACCACGTTACTCTCTAATTCAGTGGAATTAAATTTGCTCAGCAAATTCAATTACCTTATGTTTGTAAGTGAGTTTACAATTTGTAACATATTCAAATACATTGAATTTGAATTACTCTGATTTTAAATTATTTCATTCAAAATGGTTTTATTTCAAATATTGACTTGGCCCTAATCCAATTAAGGTCAGGTCAAGTCAAGTCAGGTTCATCCGAGTCTGCTTGAACACAAATCGAGTTGAATATGTCCGAGAGACTTGAGTTGAGCCAAGTCAACCCAAGTCTAAATTGAGTTGAGTTAGTTTGGACCTAAGTGAAGCCGAGCCAGGATGGGATCATGTTCAACTGAGTTGTGGACTAAGCTCATGTCAAGTCAAGTACAAACATATTAAGTTTGGCTAAGTCAAATTAGGCTAAGTCAAGTTAGCTCTAGACATCGAATCACAACCATGTCAAAATAAGATGAATGAATTCCATGTGAAATTGAGTCATTTCTATCTAAATCTATATTAAGCCGAATTGACCCAAACCTAGATTCTAGGCTAAGATTACCCAAAATTTAAACTTTAGAATATGAAGAATTACAAATTTTTACTTTTAAGATAAAATTTTATTTTTACGTAATTACTTTAATAAAATTATAGAATTTCAATTTTATTCTAATCTCGTCTAAAACACTCATTTTACTTCCAAAAATTTTAAATTGACTAAATAAATAAATTAATGTTTAAAATTATCTCATCGAAACATATTATTAGGAATTTATCCTAATTGCTCCAAGGGTTGAATTTGTTAACCAGACATCAATCCGCGGAGCGAATTTGGAACTCTAGCAAAGCACATCTCAATTCATTGAGTGGATAAAATTTGAGATCAGGATTTGAGTTCATCTACTAAAAGAATTATGTAGACTATAATTCTTCCCAAACCAATTTTCCATTCCAAACATCCATTTTTCTCTTTCAGTTTAATGTCTCAATAGGTAGACAATTAATTGAAAAAGGTAAATACAACTAAGTTGCTATAATTAAGAAATATTACTATTTTAAATAGTGTGATTTTTAAGCTTGATTTAACAAATTATTTTAATTTGATAAGAAGTAAAAAAATGAAAAAGAGTAATTTTATCTAAGAAATCAAAATCAAAATATATACTTGTAAAATGTAAATTATATAAATAAAATTAATTTTAATTTTATAATAATTGATAGATAAATTATAAGATAAGTGTGTATATATATATATATATATATATATATATATATAATGTTTTTCTTTTTTTTTTCAAGGTACTATAAAAGAAGTGTAGAGTAGAAGTTGGAAATGAATATACAAATAAATGATTTATTTTGGAGTTTTTATGATGTAAAGGATCTCACAAAAGTGTAACTTTAAAAAATAAAATAAAAAAGAAAGGGAAAGCAACTTCTGACCCTGTTTTTTTTTCCTTTCCTTCATTTTCTTATCTCTTCTTCCTCTTCTTTCTTCTCCACGTCCCAAAGTAAGTCCTGTGAAACACAATTGAGGAAAATGGAATGCGAGAAACCAGATCACTTAAACTAAGATCAAGTTCCTAGTTCCCTTTTGACCAAAAGAGAGAACTGAAAAGAAGAAAATATCATCTCTTTATTTTTCATTGCCTCACAAACTAATAAATGCTTGACTTTTAGAGAGCTTATTTCACACAAATGTGTTGCTTGCAAATATGATAGGTATTTTTTTCTTATCAAATATAGAGTACATATACTATATTTCAGAAGAAGAAAAATTCAGTTGGAAGCCTACATTAACAGATTAGGAGAGATATACTATTATTCATGAAGAAAATGAAAATCTAAGTCAATTGTTGATGATGATAGACATGAATAGTGAGAATGACGGTTACACCACACTAGAGAAATATTTGGGAGCAATATTTATGACGAAGACTGAAGAGAGCAACTGAAAAGGACCACCCAACCCCCCAATGTATTTTCAAGCTGTATAAACAAGTAAAACGTAAAATTGATGAAAATGGAGAATGAGGGTGTGGTTTCCATTTCCTTGTCAGAGCAAGCACCCCACCACCACTTCCCAACCAAAAGACAAGCAAACACTGTCTACTTTTCTTTTCTCAGCTTTCTCCTTTCCTTAAAGTACATCTCTCTCTCCTTTTGTTGTCTGCTCCACAAAATCTATGTTGTTGTAGGGTGTGTTATTCTGTATTCTTCTCATGTAATTCCACTTGCTCCATGCTTACTCCACTCATGATTCCTTACTATGAAAATACTTTTATATGGTAAAGGCTCCCTCAAATGCGTGCCAAGTACTATTCCAATGCGATTCACTTCATTCATGCATGGTTCTTCTTGAGGAAATCCACATGTTTCTCTGAGGGTGGCATGTCATGCACATAAGTTTTAAAGAACGGTTAAAGGTTGGATTTTCAGCCACAAGGTTAAGGTTTTTGGACACCCCACGTTCACATTTGCCACCTTTTTCTGCAATTTAAAACCTTGAACACAACATACAAGATAGGATCACCACCATGCCATTTGGTTTAGTCTCAGCATGGAACAAGCGTCGAAGAAGCAAATCTCAAGATCATTCAGACCCTTGTATTTCTTCTTCTTCTTCTTTTTGTTTAGTTTTTTGTATGTTGTCACTTGTGCTGAGCGTATCTTCTTGAAGCATCAAGTCTTAACAAATTACACATTCGCTCTCTTCACAGGGATTTATAAACCTGCAGAGTTTTGGCAGCTTGAAGATCATATACCACAACCAACAAAAAGGAGGCACAGATCATGTGTTTTCACACTCAAGGAGATGGAAGAGGCAACATGTTCATTCAATGATGATAATCTGCTTGGAAAAGGAGGATTTGGCAGGGTCTACAGAGGCAATTTGAAGTCAGGAGAGGTAATGACTTTCTGATAAAAGTTTATATGACAGAAAAGAGGTCATCTTATATGATTCTCAAAATTGTGTTGCTTGAGATGTAGCTTCTGTAAAGAAGACAGGCATATTTCTTATTATTTTTCTTCACAATACCATCATTGAATTCCAATAGCACATAGATTGAGTTATAGCAGCAGAGTAAAAAAATGACTTACGTTGTGACTTAGCTACAAAAAAATGCAGACTAATCACTTAAGCATTTTAATCTGAAGGTTGTAGCAATAAAAAAAATGGAGCTGCCAGCAATGAAAGCAGCAGAGGGGGAGCGTGAATTCCGTGTAGAGGTTGACATATTAAGCAGACTTGACCACCCAAATCTTGTTTCTTTGATAGGATACTGTGCTGATGGGAAGCACAGGTTCCTGGTTTATGAATATATGCATAATGGGAACCTGCAACATCATTTGAACGGTTAGTAATGTACCCCCAAATCCATGCTTTTGTGGAAATTTCCTACATCCATGTTCTGTTAATCAGTGCCTAATTTTAGGAATTGGAGAAAGAAAAATGGATTGGCCTGTGAGACTCAAAGTGGCACTTGGAGCTGCAAAAGGGCTTGCTTACCTTCATTCAAGTTCTTGTCTTGGAATTCCTATTGTTCATAGAGATTTCAAATCCACCAATGTTCTTTTAGACGCCAATTTTGAAGCAAAGGTATGAGTAAACTTCCAGCAATGACTTATTTTACATATAGCATAACATATGAAGCACTGAGGCAAAATGAACATACATCTTGTAGATATCTGATTTTGGGCTTGCCAAGCTGATGCCAGAAGGACAAGAGACACATGTGACAGTCAGAGTACTTGGTACCTTTGGTTATTTTGATCCAGAGTATACATCGGTATGTATATTTAAAGATAACAAGACTTATAAATTGGTTACAAATTGTTTAACCAGGACATATTTCTTAAAAACCATTCATCAAAAACTTATATGATTTTTATTATTTTACAACTCAAGTATTATTAAATGTTGAAGTGAAACTAACACATTGTTATGTTTTGGTGTGAGCAGACAGGAAAACTCACAGTACAAAGTGATGTGTATGCTTTTGGGGTTGTTCTTTTAGAGCTTCTCACAGGACGTCCAGCTTTAGATTTAAACCAGGGTCCAAATGATCAAAACCTAGTACTACAGGTACGCAACACAGTGGATAATGAAAAAAAAAACAAAAAACATAGACTTAAAAACTCTCCATCGTTTTAATTTAAGTACATTTATTCATAGGTGTGGCACTTACTGAAAGAGAGAAAGAAGCTTCGTAAGGTGATAGATGCAGAGATGGCTCGAAATTCTTACACCATTGAGTCTATATTCATGTTTGCAAATCTGGCTTCACGATGTGTTCATGCGGAGAGTAATGAGAGACCTTCAATGGTAGATTGTGTCAAAGAAATCCAAATGATTATCCATACCAATTCAAAGGGCTTGGGAATGGTTAGGCATAGCTTCAGAATGGTCTAATCTAATCAAATCATATCATAAAGTTCTTCAATTCATGTTAAGAACTCAAATTAAAATGCGTTACGATCATTGATTAAGTATTGGCATGATTCTTAGTGACAATGCCTTTGGGTTATTTGGATGATCAATCCGTGGCTGACAACGTTAACATGAACAAACCACTTCACTTGAAAATCTTCTCTTGCATCCTATAACATCACTATTTTGTGTTTGGAATAGTTGGTTTTTTTATCAGTTCAAATGTATAAATCGATGATACATCAACCTTAGATTACCATTATTCGCTATAATGGAGAATCAACCACGTTACTCTCTAATTCAGTGGAATTAAATTTGCTCAGCAAATTCAATTACCTTATGTTTGTAAGTGAGTTTACAATTTGTAACATATTCAAATACATTGAATTTGAATTACTCTGATTTTAAATTATTTCATTCAAATGTTTTATTTCAAATTACTTGACTTGGCCCTAATCCAAT